ATCAGCCTTCTTCGAAATGCCGTCATTCTGGTCGAATATCTGATCGATAAATTTGGCGTAGGAAGGACTGACACAGGGGCAGCCATCACCGAGTGTAGTTCACAACCTGACCAACTGGTGAAACAGTCTTAACCTATTGTGTTGCGTTGTCATAGCAAAATCAAGCTTCGAGATAAAGGAGTCCTTCTGACAGCACATTTTCGAGAATATTTTTTCTTTGCAAAGCCGCCAAGTGTTCTATAAAAGTTGTTCAAGGCATTGGCAACGGCGCCCTAAGTCACTCAAGAATCGAACAAATGTCTTAACGACGCTGCTGCATGTCAAGCAGCCTACGAAGACGCTTGGCTACTGCAGTACTAATTTGAGACGCTGCCCTGCAGGGAAGCCCACCAACGCTCTGGCCGGAAAAAGTGGTTGTCCAGCGAGCCTCCTACGACTGGCATTCCGAGCTAGATGACCGGCAGACGAATGCGTGGCCATGCATGCTCTTCACGGTGGCTTTCTTGGTCGGCCTAGTAATCCTTCTCATCTTCTTTCTGGTCGACTCAACCAAGAAGTTAGCCTCGTTAGAGAGAACTACATTGACGAGCCACTTACAACTCCACTGAAAAGGAAGGAGCGCGAGATAATCGAGTCAGCGACGAGTGCTCTTTCGGTCTTCCCCAACGGCACTGAATGCACGACAACGACGACGACCGAGGTCAAGGTCTCTGCCGAGAAAGAGGAGGAGGTGGATGTCTCAACGGCTACTCCAACAAGCGACTACGAAGAAGTGTATCAACAAACAGGAACTTCCTGGGTGGAAACGAGTGAACGCATTAGCCTCTAATTGTGACTGCCTGATTAGGATGATCATATGCACTTAATCGATAGTATTGGTGAATAACGCACGAATATAGATCTCAAAAGAGCGGAAAGAACAAAGAGTTTGTGTTGAACTCATAATGACCACTGACGTTGTGTGGAAGTTTTTTTTAATCCTCGCTTTATTTGCACCACTCGTTTATTTCTGCCGTCAATCAAAACGAGCTTACCGATTTGAGAAGGTGAGCTAACTCGTAATTAACCATTCGATGGTAAATGTAAAATTTTTTTGGGTATTTAGCCTCCACCTGAATGCTGATCCAGGCCAATGCCAGTCTAGAACACATAGCCCAAGCCAAAATGTCATGTTTGGTGTCGTTTGGTCGGCACTGCGTTGAACTTGGAGTGAGCCGCGATGGGTGCATTGCTTTAGTAATGAATACTGCTTCTAAAAAATGCTTAAGATCCCACGCACCTTGCAAATCTATTTTATGTGAAGCATGCAGATGGAAGGTGACTGTGTTGTAATTTTTTTTACTGAGCCAAAGTGAGCGCGAAACATGTGATTTAGTCGTGGTTTCATACTTCTCCTCTCTTTATAGTTCGACAGTACCCACTTATGATGTATTGCAGCTTAAAGCGCTGACTGAGTAAGACGCTAGGCGGATCTGTTCAAACTTCGATTGACATTTTTTTTTGTGTGTGTGGGTCGGCAGGCTCTTGAAACAGTGAATGTATTCGACGAAATTTCTGCATGCCTGCATTTTCACTTGTGCACCATGGTGTGTAGCAGGCGAGTCCATTTATGAAGGCTCAGAAACGCATCACATGCGCTAAAAACAAGCAATTACACGTTTGCGTAAGCTACGGCGCGCGCGCTCCCAATGCAGACGCTCTTGATATCTTCAGTATCCAGGGACAACAGCGCCACCGCTACTGTCACCCGTCGGAGAATCAGCCGAGATGCGGCGCGGCCACCTCGTTCATTCCACTGTCTCCTTCTAGTACACTGTAACGAGGCGAAGGCTGCACCCATGGAGGAAGGAAAAGCTTTTTCCTTCCTCCATGGCTGCACCCACGGAGGAGGGAAAGGTAGGAGAGGGCATGCCCACCCGGCGCAGGGCGTAAAAAATGTGGCGCAAATCACGTCACAGCGGCCATATTCAATGGGCACAATGGCGGCGTTTTGTTAATATTGATGTAGTGCGGTGGGGTCCCGTTCAGGCGGTCCAGCGGCGGTGTGCGTGTTTTCATGAGCCTCACACCTAACCGAGGCGTACTGCAGGTTTTCGACAGCATCCATTCTTTGAGCCGCATTGTTAGCTACGCGATTTTCTTCTGGTGGTGGTTGTAACCAGGTGTCTGAACTAGAAATCTCGGAACGAGCGCGCGTATACGTATTCCGAATTTGCAACGTCCATCAAAAACTGTGTCTAGTCCACAGCCTGACCAAAAATTTCATAAAGCCTGAAAAGAAGCGCGAAAGGGGGAAAAAAGTGATCTGAAAGAAGCTGTACGAATTTCGGTGCATAGTTCGTCGTGCGGCAATGTCCGAAATATCATCTTCATTTTCACAAAGAACACATCAAATAAAAAAAGCTTAACGTGCAACTTGCCGTGTTTATCGTAAATGCCGGCAGTGCAAGACTACAACACCCATACGCAAAGATTTCGTCAAACATATCGCGGGAGGACAGCGTGTTGAAATCAGTTTCGTTGGTTTCGGATAGCACCAGCGCACGTGGCGCGCAGGCCACGTGCTTTTTCAGACAGACAGGGAGTCGCGCCCTCCGCTTCGCATTCATATGTAAACAAGAGAGGACAATTTGCCCAGTCAATATGGCTGACTTCCGGCTTCATCGCGGCTTCACCCGGAGCAAGGAAAGGTAGGAGAGGTCCTGACGTCACTCGTTGTGAAGCCGGAAGCCGGCCATATTGACTGGGCAAATTCTCCTCTCTTGTTTACGTATGAGTGCAAAGCAGAAGGCGCGACTCCGTTTCTGTGTCAAAAAACACATGGCCTACGCGCCGCGTGCGCCGGTGGAATCCGAAACCAACGGAAGGGATTTCAACACGCTGTCCGGCCACAATACGGTTGACGAAATCTCTGCGTATGGGTGTTGTACTCTTGCACTGCCGGTGTTTACGATAAACACGGCAAGTTGCTTGTTAAGCTTTTTTTTATTGATGGGTTCTTTGTGAAAATAATGTGACATTTCGGACATTGCCGCGTGAAGAACCAGGCAGCGAAATTTGTACAGCTTCTTTCAGATCACTTTTTCCCCCTTTTGCGCTTCTTTTTAGGCTTTATGAAATTTTTGGTCAGGCTGTGAGCTAGACACAGTTTTTGACGGACGCTTCAAATTCGTAGTACGTATACGCGCGCTCGTTCCATGATTTCTAGTTCAGACATCTGGTTATAACCACCACCGGAAGAAAATCACGTAGCTAACAATGCGGCACAAGGAATGGATGCTGTCGAACACCTGCAGTACGCCACGGTTAGGTGCGAGGCTCATGAAAACACGCACACCGCCGCTGGACCACCTGAATGGTGCCGCACCGCACTACATCAATAATAACAAAACGCCGCCATTGTGCCCCGGGAATATGGCCGCTGTGACGTAATTTCCGCCACAAGTTTTACGCCTTGCGCCGGCTGGGCATGTCCTCTCCTACCTTTCCTTCCTCCGTGCGGCTTCACAACGTGTGATGTCAGGGCCTCTCCTACCTTTCCTTCCTCCATGGCTGCACCGATTGATGGGAAGAGTGTGTTGCCAGAGGCATCTTCATGCTGCATCACGGAGGAAAGAAAGGTAGGAAAGGGCATGCCCAGCCGGCGCAGGCGTGAAAAGTGTGGCGGAAATGACATCATGGCGGCCATATCCACTAGGCTCAATGGTGGCGTTGCTATGGTTAAGTGTTGCGCAGTGGAGCTGGTCTAGCAGTGAGCGGCCGCAGCTAGCGGCGGATTGTGTGCCTCCCCAGGTTTCGTGCTGAGCCGTGGCGGACAATATCTGTGCTCTGCGCCGCGTTATTGGTTACGCAGTGTTTTCCTGGCAGTTACATTACTCTTAGCAACGTCTACAAATCCCTTTGTCCATCACGGGGTTTCAACAGTGCGTAGAACAAGTGCATATCCACTTGTCGTGCGGCGGATGACGCGGATGAAGCAGTTAGTGTTCAGCGATATTGCGTTGGGCACCATGACGAAGCTGAATGACGACGAACGCCTTGCAGGTCAGTGATGGTTGAGCAGTGCTCCTCCTTGTGACAACGGACGACGCTCATGAGCCCAGCGAGACGCCATGAGGACCATGTGCACATACGTAGTTTCGTGTTGTGTGTGTACAGTAACAACTTGCATGTGCGTATTAAAACACCTTTTCTGTTCCGCTTGGTACACTGTTCACCAGCCTTACATGTAATCTCAACGTAACAGCAACCGCATTCAACTGTCGCTAGCACCGTGCTCAAAGTCACCACGGTCGCAGAATGCTGACGCCGGTGAATTTCACGCGGAACACGGACACAGTGGCAGAACGCTGCGTCGGCCGCGTAGCGGAATGCAACCGTAGAAGGCGCACAACCGATCGTGTTGTCTGTACAGTTGCTGAATTAATTACATGAAAGCACTCGCCGTTATCAGTGCATAAAGCGTGCGTTCTCTCGTAGTTGCTTCGTTGTCGGCGAGCTGTTACTCCCTGTTATTACTCGGGAGAAGTGATTTCGCTGAAGGTGTCCCGCAGGCTCAGAGTAATGAGCCCCGTTCCATTAGTTTCGGATCGTCACGACACACGCGCTGCGCAGCCCACGTGATTTTCGAGCCGGAGAGAGAGTCGTGCCTTCTGCTTTACATTCGGGTGTAAACAAGCGAGGAGAATTCGCCTACTCAATATGGCCGACTTCCGGCTTCATCCCGGCTTCACAACAAGTGACGTCAGGGCCTCTCCTAGCTTTTATTCCTCCGTGTGCTGCATCGTCCCACCAAATACACGCTTTTCCGCAGCTGGTTTGCTCATTCATATATAGATGGCGCCACAACACCGTGGACGTCTCCTTAACTTGGCAGTCTTTCTGTCATGGCCTTCTGCAGCACTGCTGCACACCTGCTTCGCGTCTTTTGCTCATTGTCCCCGTAGCGTAGGTGTTCTGTGGTAGCGTCTACACGCACGTGAGTAAAAATGAAGCAGACGCTATGGGGACGCTGCAAAGACGAAGGGACGCTGATGTTCAGCAGTGCTGCAGTAGGCCACAGCAGAAAGACTGCCAAGGTTAGGAAATTCAGTAAGTTGGCGCTTATGGGAGCACTTTCCTTCCACCTCGGTCTCCTCATGCAGTTCCTCTTTTATAACTTTCAGTGCCCTGTAAAAGGGGAAGAGAACAATGGAAATACTCCGTCGGCGTGAGTGCGGCGCCTCGCCACTAGGTGCCAACACCTAAACACGGTGCTGGAGTTCACTACGTGCCGCAGCCGCCGTGGTTCTGGCTCCGTGCTCAAAATAAACAGATTCAACCCTTAATGTTCTGCGCTTAAACCTCAACATATCGCGGCAGTAATCACTGAATTATGTTACCGAGTGCCTCAGCAATCTAGTTGCCAGCTTTCACGCACTAGCCGCAAGCGAAGAACGCCACGCTAAATGAATACCAAAAACAGGCTTGGACAAGATGTCTATAAATTTTAAACGTTGACTTGCCCTGCATAGCAGCTTTATATTCTGCAAATCGAACCCCATTGATGCGATACGAATACCCTTTCAAAAAAAGAAGGAACGCTTAGTTTTAAGTACCTCTATTTTCGGTAGCCTCACAGTTTTGCGTATTTTCTCTACAGGGGCCTTTTGCAAATTACTTGAAATCATTATGCTTGTCACTGACAGTGAATGCGTAGTTCACCAGCATAGGCCGCAAAAACCGAACAGATATCAGCTCCATGAGCTCAGCACTGTGAGTGTCATCCATCTCCTTGCACTTAAGCAGGTTTGAAGCACACAGTGCTTGCACAGCATACTTAACAAGGGTAGACAATGGCTTTTTCAAAGTCGCATTGTCCTTCAGAGCATGATCCGCAAATGCTCTCAGCACGCCAACGACAAACAGCAACTGGTCTGACGGGTAAAGTAGCCCACCTCGGTTCTGGCTGCGAGTGAACTGCAAGATAGGTTGATTGCTCGCTGGCTTTGTGCAGACTACAGTGCAACTTCCACAACAGATGTGCTCGTTTATGACGCGAGCAATATAGCCCCCAACATAAACAGTTGCTGAAATCTAGAGTGACGGCAAGTGCTGAGGCAAAACTGTTGCATTGATTTGTTGCGAAACACATGCAGCTCTCTGTAGCTGAGGTGGCTGCTGTGCTAGTGAAGGAGAATCTTCAGTGAACAGTGTGCCTGTTGATATTTGGGCACACTGTTTGTGTGCAACGTTTGATGCAATGCTGGATTCGGCAAGTCTAGTTTTTAAAACCTTCTCCAGCCCTTGCAAAACAGACCAGTTCCTCAGACCAGCTCGGCTTCTTCTTGAAGTTCTCAATCTGATCAATCAAGAATAAAGATGCAGGTTCCTTTTCTTTCGCTTTTTGCTTGATGTGAGACACATCCGCAACCAGGGCGTCTTAGTACACCTTTCTCAATTTCATTTTGTACTTGTCGACGGTCTGTTGCTGTCGAACTACGGAACTAGAAACCACGGAACAAGCGCGCGTATACGTACTACGAATTTGCAGCGTCCGTCAAAAACTGTGTCTAGCTCACAGCCTGACCGAAAATTTTATAAAGCCTAAAAAGGAGCGCGAAAGGGGGAAAAAGTGATCTGAAAAAAGCTGTACAAATTTCGGTGCCTGATTCGTCACGTGGCAGTGTGCGAAATACCATCTTTATTTTCACAAAGAGCCCATAAATTAAAAAAAAGCTTAACGGGCAACTTGCCGTGTTTAGCGTAAACACCGGCAGTGCAAGAGTACAACACCCATACGCAGCGATTTCGTCAACCGTATTGCGGCAGGACAGCGTGTTGAAATCCGTTCCGTTGGTTTCGAATAGCACCGACGCACGCGGCGCGTAGGCCATGTGCTTTTTGAGACATAGAGGGAGTCGCGCTTCTGCTTCGCACTCATATGTAAACAAGAGAGAAGAATTTGCCCCTTTAATATGGCCGACTTCCGGCTTCATCGCGGCTTCACAGCGACTGACGTTAGGGCCTCTCCTACCTTTCATTCCTCCGTTTTTCTAGGCTTTTTAGGCTTTATAAAATTTTCGGTCAGGCTGTGGCCTAGACACAGTTTTTGACGGACGCTGCAAATTCGTAGAACGTATACGCACGCTCGTTCCGTGGTTTCTAGTTCAGACACCGGGTTATAACCACCACCAAAGGAAAACCGTGTAGCTAACAATGCGGGACAAAGAATGGATGCTATCGAACACCTGCAGTACGCCACGATTAGGTGCGAGGCCCATGAAAACGCGCCCACCGCCGCTGGACCGCATGAACGGTGCCATACCGCACTACATCAACAATAACAAAACGCCGCCATTGTGCCCAGTGAATATGGCCGGTGTAACGTAATTTGCGCCACATTTTTTACGCCCTGCGTCGGCTGGGCATGCCCTCTCCTACCTTTCCCTCCTCCGCGGGTGCAGCCATGGAGGAAGGAAAAACATTCCTTCCTCCATGGGTGCAGCCTTCGCCTCGTTACAGTGTACTAGAAGGAGGCAGTGGAATGAACGAGGTGGCCGCGCCGCATCTCGGCTGATTCTCCGACGGGTAACAGTAGAGGTGGCGCTGCTGTCCCTGGGTACTGAAGATCTCAGGAGCGTCTGCATTGAGAGCGTGCGCGCCGTAGCCTACGAAAACGTGTATCTACTTGTTTTTAGCGCATGTAATGCGTTTCTGAGCCTTCATAACTGGACTCACCTGCTACACGTCATGGTGCACGACTGAATATTCAGACATGCCGAAATTTCGTCGAATACATTCACTGTTTCAAGAGCCTGCTGGCCTACACACAAAAAAAATGTCAATCGAAGTTTGCACAGATCTGCCTAGCTTCTTACTCAATCAGCGCTTTGAGCTGCGTTACATCATAAGTGGCTACTTTCGAACTATAGAGAGAGGAGAAGTATGAAAACCATGACTAAATCATATGTTTCGCGCTTACTTTCGCTCAGTAAAACATTAAAACACAGTCACCTTCCATCCGCATGCTTCACATAACACAGATTCTTAAGGTGCGTGGTTCTTGAGAATTTTTTTAAAGCAGTATTCATTACTTAAGCTATGCAGCCATCGCGACTCACTCCAAGGTCAATGCAGTGCCGACCAAACGACACCAAACGTGACATTTTGGCTTAAACTATCTGTTCTAAACTGGCATTGGCCTGGATCAGCTTTCCGGTGGAAGCTAAATACCCAATAAAGTTTCAACATATACCATCGAATGGGTAATTACGAGTTAGCTCACCTTTTTGAATCGGTAAGTTCGTTTTGATTGATGGCAGAAATAAACAAATGGTGCAAATAAAGCGAGGAATAAAATAAACTTCCACACAACGTCAGTGGTCATTATGAGTTCAACACAAACTCTTTGTTCTTTTCACTCTTTTGAATTCTATATTAGTGCGATATTCACCAATACTGTCGATTAAGTGCATATAATCATCCTAATCAGGCAGTCACAAATAAAGGCTAATGCGTTCACTCGTTTCTACCCAGGAAGTTTCAGTTTGTTGATACTCTTCTTCGTAGTCGCTTGTTGGAGTAGCCATCGAGACATCCAACTCCTCCTCTTTCTCGGCAGAGAACGCGACCTCGGTTGTCGTCGTTGTCGTGGATTCAGTGCCGTTGGGGACGACCGAAAGAGCACTCGTCGCTGACTCGATTATCTCGCGCTCCTTTCTTGTCAATGGAGTTGTAAGTGGGCTCGTTGTTGTAGTTCTCTCTAACGAGGCCAACTTCTTGGTTGAGTCGACCAGAAAGAAGATGAGAAGGATTACTAGGCCGACCAAGAAAGCCACCGTGAAGAGCATGCATGGCCACGTATTCGTCTGCCGGTCATCTAGCTCGGAATGCCAGTCGTAGGAGGCTCGCTGGACAACCACTTTTTCCGGCCAGAGCGGTGGTGGGTTTCGCTGCAGGGCAGTGTCTCAAATTAGTACTGCAGTAGCCAAACATCTTCGTAGGCTGCTTGACATGCAGTAGCGTCATTAAGACATTTGTTCTATTCGTGAGTGACTTAGGGTGCCGTTGCCAATGCCTTGAACAACTTTTATAGAACAATTGGCGGCTTTGCAAAGGAAAAAATATTCTCGAAAATGTGCTGTCAGAAGGACTCCTTTATCTCGAAGCTTGATCGTGCTATGACAACGCAACACGATAGGTTAAGACTGTTTCACCAGTTGGCCAGGTTGTGAACTACACTCGGCGCTGGCTACCCCTGTGTCAGTCCTTCCTACGCAAAATTTATCGATCAGATATTCGACCAGAATGACGGCATTTCGAAGAAGCCTGATTCTAGGACACCTCAACTTGAAGTGAAGCACGCGCACGTTTTCTTTGCAATTCCCGAAGACAAGCACTTTTAACCTATCTCACATGCATTGCAACACAACCAGCCGTCATCTTGCGATAATACCATGCATATACTGTGACAGGAACGGCTTTACACTGAAACTGCAGCAAAACGTGATCGTTGTCGCCTCTCTGATTAAAGGCTATGAACGTTTATTTTCAAGTAGTTCAGCAATGATCAAGCTCAAGATATTGTTTACAGCTTGTTGTCGTTAAACAACACCTTGAAAAATTATGATATCACGCAAGTAAGTGCTCTTCTTGCCGATCCCTTTTGACTCACACATGACATTGATGGTGTACTCACGTTTTGGGCGAATTGTTGTGGGGCGGTCAGAAATAGCTGACTTTCTTGTTTATAGCCCGGAGCAGCCTTGAGTTTTTGTTGGTCACCAGCTTCAACAACTTTTTTTCCGAGAGCGTCGTTTTGATCTTGGGCGGTAGCCTGGTACTCTAGCTTGTTTGCCTGCAGTTCATTCATAGACCCTCGCCTGGCTCTTGGAGCCTGTTCCTGCTGTGGCATATCTCGAAGCGACGGTGAAGTAGGCTTGGGCGGCAGCAGCTTCACATTACCGACAATTTTCTCTCCTTCATCAGCTGTAGAGCTCTTAGGAAGGGTGACCACGCACGCTGGAGGTGAGGATGGATTTACTTCTGCTATGTCGTGCCTTGAGCCGGCCTTGGACTTAGGAGGACTCCGACTTGTTGTTTGAGGAGGGGCCATAGGTATTGAGGGTGCAGTCGGTGACAGCTTAGGGAGCTCGCAGAAGTCTTCGGCATTAGGCAGCGTGATGCTCTTGCGGTGAACGTTGAGTGCGAGTGACGGAGCTGCGACTGCCTTTTCTTCAGCGACGTTGCACCTGGAGCCACGCCTAAAGCCTGTGGGCACCTGACCCGGCACTTCACAGGATTCGGGAAGTGCCGCAAACGCTGGTTGATGTGTCCCTGCGGCAAGTCGGGCGTCTTCGTTTTTAGACACTGCATGACTTCCGCGTCGCTCCTTAGCCATGTGAGACACGGTAGCAGTCGTTTTCGCAAAGCACGGGTCGCACCTCTTCCTCTTTCTCGCCTTCTCGGAAGTCGGGGCATCGTAATGATGGTATCACCATGGTGATCATGACCCAATTTAATGATGACTCCATCTCTAACTGGTGCGTGACATGGCAAATGAATCTGAATACTGTCAAATATATAGTTTTGTGTGTTTCCGGAATATATCTTCTGCTACCTACTTGACGACATGCCATTGGAACTTGTCACCACTTATTGCTATCTGGGTGTACCCAACACAACTTCTTAATTCATTGATTATTATGTGGAGTTTAACATCCCAAAACCACCATGTTATTATGAGAGACGACGTAGTGGAGGACTGCGGAAATTTCGAGCACCTGGGGTTCTTTACCGCGTACCGAAATCTGAGCGCACGGACCTACAGCACTCTCATCTTCATCGAAATTGCAGCTGCCACAGCCGGGATTCGATCCCACGACCTGTGGGTCAGCAACCGAGTACTTTAGCCACTAAGCACCGCGGCGTGGCAACTCCACCACTTGTTTCGGCTGTTGCTGCACATAGGTTTCATTAAAATAATGCAAACCGCATGGTTGGGTATATTACTGCAATTTCGCCCTCCTCGCCCGTCTCCCTTAAACTGCAATTGTACAATACGGTAATTCGTAGCAAGCTAGAATATTGTCGCGGCGTGAAGACAGAGGTCGTATTTGAAGACGCTGATAAAACAGCACCAGGTCAGTCTTTTTATTTACCGTGTGCCAGAGAGTTCCTCGTTTTTCTCGTGGTTGCATTCTGCATAAAAGCGTGCAAATGCGCGTACGCACTGTCGCCTTCGTCTTTCTCGCAGAGCGCACGTGACATTTGCCTACCTCCAGAAATGGCATCGTCCCGATGCGCAGTCAAGGCGCTCTATTTAAAAAAAATTGCACATATGCACCGGTACCCACAGGACAAACGAGAGTTAGCTGGACAAGTAGGGTTTCATCCGGATGACATGCACGATCTCGGGTGAGCGGTTTCGGCGACTGGAACTGCAATTGCCGTCGGGAATAACTTCGTAGTTGATGTCGCTCAGTCGTCGGGTGACTCAATATGGGCCGAAGTATCATCGTAATAGCTTCTCTGAAATGAACTTTGCTAAGGCACGTTGCCGGGCTTGTTGGTTGAGATTCATCATTTTCACTGGTATAGAGCACCACGACAAGGACACACACAAAGGAGAGATGCACCCACACACAGCGCTAACTTGCAACTAATGTTTTATTTGCGATCACACATGCTGTTTATACAACAGTAGACCGATAAAACCTGGATAATGTCACGTCAAGATTTGAAGCTTTTGAAATAGACAAAACGAAAGAAAAATGTGTGAGTGTGGCTTCTATAGCATTATCCTCTAAAGAAAAGAAGTATCTAGAATCTTCACTTTGACGGGCTAGTGTAGATTGTCGCTATCGGTGATGACACGTGCATGGGCTGTGCTGTATTCTTGACGTGACATTATCCAGGTTTTATCGGTCTACTGTTGTATAAACAGCATGTGTGATCGCAAATAAAACATTTGTTGCAAGTTAGCGCTGTGTGTGTGTGCATCTCTCCTTTGTGTGTGTCCTTGTCGTGGTGCGCTGTACCAGTGAAAATGATGATTCTCTTGAAGTCCGCGTCAATGTATTGGGATCCAGACCCTTACCTTGTAACCTGGTGTGTAGGTTAGCAATTTATGTCTTAGGTCGTACCGTTTCGCATCATTGTGTTGCTGGTGACGAATACGCACTCGGGCTATCTTTCGGGCTGCTTCGGCGCGCTGACCAAATTCTTCGGCGTATGCATGATTGCCATCACACTCGCAAGGCAGCATAGCGCCCAACGTTGTAATGCCTTCGTGCCCCTGCGTTAAACTAAACGGCGTCATTCCGGTAGTTTCCTGTCAGGCGGTATTAAAGGCGAATGTCACATAAGGCCAGATTTCATCTCACTTCTTGTGTTCTGTGGCGACATACATGCAGAGCATGCCTGCGAGGGTCTTATTAGGCTGTTCTGTTAGTCCATTCGTTTGTTATGGCTCGCCGTTGTTCTCCGGCGAGCTGTACCGCTGAGCCTGAGAACCGACTCCAAAAGTTCTGCCATGAACGCAGCTCCTTTATTCGTGATGAGAACTGTTGGAGCACCGTGCCGAAAGACGACTTTTTCTATGAAGAAATTAGCCGCTTCTGCTGCTGTGGCCCTCAGCATGGCTTTAGTTTATGTGCGGCGAGACAAGTGATCAGTGGCGACAATGATCCATCTGTTCCCTGTGGTAGAAGTTTGGAATGGGCTCAGGAAATCCAATCCGATTTGGGCGAATGGCTTTGCTGGTGCTTGGTCAGAATGTAATAAGCCTACCGGCCTGCCGGGGGGTGGTTTGCGTCTTTGACAGTTGGCACAGGTTTAACTTGATGTTTTACATCAGCAGGTAGGTTCGGCCAGTAGTAACTGTTTTGCAGACGGGACAATGTTGGAGTGTAGCCGCGATGACCGGAGGTGACATCTTCATGGGAGGCTTCCAGAATTGTTTTTCGCAGTGATGCAGGGATGACGAGCAAGTATAGGCTGCCCGTGGGAGAATATTTTTTTTTGTATAGGACGTCATTCTCTAAACAAAAAGATGACAGTCATCTCGCAAAAACTCGCGGCATGACTTCACGTCATCCTTCTAAGAAGTGAATAATCGGAAGCAGGTCAGGGTCACTGCGCTGCTCTCGTGAAATAGTGGCCGCGTTGATGACTCACGAAAATGTGGCGTCCATTGAGTCGTCATTATAGCGGCAGGCTTGTTGGATGACCGTGAGCGATAGTCTGAGTCTGTGTGCTTCTTCAATGATTTATAAATTATGGTCATATCAAACTTTTGAAGCCGAAGGCTCCAGCGTGCTTAATGGCCGAAAGGGTCTGTGCCAGCAAATCTAGTGGTAATGGCTGACGACCTTGAATGAGGGGCCATACAGATACGGTCGAAATTTGAGAACCGCCCAGACCACGGCGAGGCACTCTTTCTCGGTAGACGGGTAGTTCTCTCTCTTGCGAGAGAAAGCTCTGCTGGCATAGGCTATCACTTTCTCGGAGTTATCTTGCCATTGTATCAGTACGGCGCCCAGGCCTACATTGCTTGCGTCGGTGTGAAGTGCTGTTGGCGCTTCCTGGTCAAAGTGCACAAGAACAAGAGGTGTTTGGAGGCGTTGGCGTACTTCGTTGAATGCACTTTGTTACTCTTCGCCCCCCAAAAAGGGGACATCCTCTCGTGTGAGCCGCGTCAAAGGTGCCGCAATAGACGAAAAGTTGGCGATGAATCGTTCTCACAAAACGAGCGCTCAAAAAGGGCGCGCCGCCGAATTCTCGCGACGAAGCGCCGAGAGGTCAAGGATAAAAAAAAAGAAAACAAGCATCCAAAGACTCCCCGGGCGCGCGACCCTCTCCCCTCGGAAGCGTAGGTTTGCCGAAGAACCTCCTCTAATCGGCGCCCGAGCAAGCCCTCGAATGTTCTAGATGGAAAGGGGCATGGTGATGCCAGGTTGCGTCATCCGTCGCGGACGGCCTTCGAACTGTCTCGCCCTCTCCCCAGCCTTCGCTGCGTATCGCGCCGACGAAATGATGAGAACTTTCTGGAATCTCGCGTGGAAGGTATTTCATCGAGCAGCAGAGATGGGAAATCAGGAGAAGACGGAAGTTTGCGCCAGAGCGCGTAGGGATTCCGCCGTGTAGTCGGCGAAGGTTTTGTCCGTAGAGACAAAGCAGGAGAAGAAGATGATTTCCACCTGATGGGTGACAACTTGAGCTACAGGCAAGAGTCTGTGTTTACCGCTATCGAGCGAAGACGCGTGGCAACGGCTGTGTGTGTGAAGCCGACGTGTTTCCGGCGAAGAAGTTTGAAGCTTGGAGAGTGGCCAATTTAAGACGCGAGGTTTCCTGGAAGAGAAATTTCGGAGGTTTCCTGGAAGAGAAACTTCGGCGAGGTTTCCTGGAAGAGAAACTTCGGGGACAGCGGAACCACAGAGGTTTCCTGGAAGAGAAACTTCGGGGGCAGTGGAACGACAACAACGCTGGACTTCGAGTGAGTGATTCTCGGAAGAGTATCATCCAGACTTTTGTTCCAAGAACTTTGGACTGGATAGGTTTTCTATCTCTTTAGTCTTTAAGTGTCTTGGTTGTTCAATGCATGCGGCTGCATTGTAGTGCATATCGTTGTCTGTGTCCGTTGTTTCGAGTGTGGCTGATTGTACTGTGTAGTCACTGTTTGATTGGTGACATATTGTACTCAACTATTGTGGAGTGTGCATACTTGTGTATTGTTTTTGATCTGTCATTATTGAGAATATAATTTGGTTTGTTTATCAACTATCGGCTCTGACTTGTTCTTTGGGCTACAGCTGGCGTCCGCTGGCGCGCCAAAAGGGACCACTTCTGAATTGCCCACGCTTTCGTGGTGCGGTTCGGGGGGCCGATACTCCGGACCTTGGAATTAGCCTGGTGATTGCCTCCCTAATTAACGGGACACGTGACAATTAATCTGGCGTCCGCGACTAGGACCTTTTTGGTGCACAGTGTGTCCAAAGTAGTGAGATAGAGCCTCGAGTTGTTGATAGTGCTATCGGAACGATTTTGTGTGTTGCTCAGTGTTCTCGTTAACGAGTGCAGGAGAGTGTTCCGATAGACTGATTTAGGCAGATATATTTTGCACGCGGCAAGGTTTTAGTTGCGAGACACAATAGATCTCGAAAAGTTAGTCGCTCTTGGTGAGAAGATGGGTCTTTCTGGCGCCGAAACACGGAAATGGGTAAGCCAGATTGAGAAAGAGGTGGTGGAGAGAGAGAGGTTGGCAGCTGAGAGAGCCAAGGAAGAAAAAGCAGCTGAGTTGGGACGAGAGAGGTTGGCAGCTGAGAGGGCCAAGGAAGAAAAAGCAGCTGAGTTGGAGAGAGAAAGGCTGGCCGCTGAAAGGGCGAAGGAAGAAAGAGAGCAACAATTGAA